TTCTAAATATGCGGCCAAGGATTCTGTTAGCTTTATTGCGAACACTAATGCACTGTTGTCTTGGTTTTAGATTACTGCTAACCAGAACTCCTAAATCCTTTTTGCAATCAGTAGTATTAAGATCTACATTATTTAGTTTATATGTGGCATGGTTATTTTCCTGTCCAACATTTAGAACTTTGCAATTGTCTATATTAAACTGCATCTGCCACTTCGACCATTGCATCAGTCTATTCAAATCATCCTGGAGTGCTCTAGTGTCCTCATTAGAATGAAGTGGACGGCCTATTTTGGTGTCATCAGCAAATTTGCTTATGTCGCTATTTATTCCCTCATCTATGTCGTTTATGTAAATTGTGAACAACAACGGGCCCAACACTGACCCGAGGAACACCGCTTGTGACATGCCCCCATTCTGATTTCTCCCCATTTATGCAAACTCTCTGCTGCCTATTTGTCAACCATGCCTCTACCCAGGAAAAAATTTCTCCTCCTATTCCATGTGCCTTAAGTTTCCTCAATAGCCTGTGGGAAAACTTGAATTAATTTCACTAATAATTACTGAGTAAATATATAAACCAATCACTACTGTCTTGCCATACCATTGATAGAATGGAAGAATGTTATAATGTCAGGATTACTGATTTTTCCTTAGACTGTCTCATGAATGTTATGACACTGACTGATATTAATAACCTCCATTTGTATTAAATGTAGACTTTTTTTTTTTTTTTTCAACAAGTTCGGTCCGTCTCCCACCCGGAGGCAGGGTGAACCCAGAAGAAGAAAATCCCCAGAAACAAAATACTTTCATCATCATTCAACCCTTTCACCACACTCACACATTATCACTGCTTTTGCAGAGGTGCTCAGAATACAACAGTTTGAAGCATTTACAGTATAAGATACACAACATATCCCTTCCAAACTGCCAATATCCCAAACCCCTCCTTAAAAGTGCAGGCATTGCTTACATTCCCATTTACAGATAAGTCTGACTATATAATCAATATATTATATTAGATTTATATATATATATATATCTATATATAATAAATATTATATATTATATATATATTTATTTATTTATTTTATTTTCAACAAGTCGGCCGTCTCCCACCGAGGCAGGGTGACCCAAAAAAGAAAGAAAATCCCCAAAAAAAAATACTTTCATCATCATTCAACACTTTCACCACACCGCACATTATCACTTTTTTTGCAGGGGTTCGAATAAAACAGTCTAGAAGCATACACTATAAAATACACAACAATCCCCCCAAACTGCCAAATCCCAAACCCCCCCTTTAAAGTGCAAGGCATTGTTTTCCCATTTTCCAGGACTCAAGCCGACAAAATTAAAAATAACCGTTTCCCTGAATCCCTTCCTAAATATTACCCTGCCCACACTCCAACAGATCGCAGGTCCCAATACCATTCGTCTCCATCACTCCTATCTAACACGTCACCAATTTTTCGGAAGTCCAACCCCCTGCCCACAAAACCTCCTTTTACCCCCTCTTCCAACCCTTTCGGGGACACCCCTACCCCCCCTTTCCCTTTCCCCCTATAGTTTATATGCTTTCCATGTCATTCTATTTTGACCTTTCTCTCAAAAAGACCAAAACCCACCCAAAAACCCCTCCTTTCCCTCGACTAATACTTTTATTAACCCACACCTTTTTCCTAATTTCCACACCCCCCAAATTTTCGCTAATATTACACCACACATTCCCCCTTAAACAGGACACTCCACTGCCCCGTCTCCCCCGCTGCTGCATTTAACCACCCAAGCTTCACACCCAAAAGAGTGTTGGTACTACTATATTTTCATACTTTCCCCTTCTTTGCCTCCATAGATAATGTTTTTTGACCCCCACAAAAACCTCAACGCACCACTCCCCTTTTTTTTCCCCTCATAAATTTTAAGATTAACCCTCCTTCAAAATCCATCCCCCGCACTCAACCCCCAAGTATCTGAAAAATTTCACTTTTTTCATACCCCTCCCCCCCAATTTGAATCCAATTTTTCTTTACTAAACTTTAAACACCCTCATCACCTTACTTTTTTCTATTTTCACTTTCAACTTTCTACCTTTACCAATTCCCAAACTCTCCACTAACCTTTGCAATTTTTCTTTAAATCTCCCAAAGCACAGTATCATCACAAAAAGTAACTGTGTAATTTCCCATTTTGAATTTGATTCCCCAAAATTTAATCCCACCCCCTCCTGAACACCCTAGCATTTACCCTTTAAAACCCCCATCAAAAAATTAAAAACAACCATGGTGAATTACACATCCCTGTCTAAGACCTATTTTTACCGGGAATAGTCTCCCCTCTTCTACACACCCAACCCTAGCCTCCTATCCTCAAAAAACTCTTTCAGCATTTAAAACTTACCACCTTTTCCATTACTTGCAACATCTCCCCAAAAATGCTCCTCTATCCACCTATCATATCCTTTTTCAAACCTAAACAATAAAAATTTCCCCCTACCTTTTAACAAAACGTTCACAATAGTTTAAATGTAAACATTGTCTACACATCCCCTACCACTCGAAACCTCCTTGCTCATCCGCAATCCTCCCTTCCCCCTTTCCCCTTTTTTAATTCTTTAAATTATAACCCTACGTACACTTTTTCCTGGTAACCATAAACTATTCCCTATAATTTTTACAGCTTTTTTTGTCCCCTTTCCCCTTTAAATAAAGGGACAAACATGCTCTCCGCCAAACCTGGGTACCTTCCCCTCTTTCATACTTTTATTAAACAAAAGTACCAACACTCCAACACTATATCCCCCCCTGTTTTTAACATTTCTGCATGATCCCATCAGTTCCCGCGCTTTACCCCCTTTTTATTTTACGTAATGCCCACGACCTCCCCCCCACTTTCATTCTGCTCTTCTTTACTCCAAAAGATGGGATACCCCCCGACCAGTGCAAAATTTCTGCCTCTTTTTTTCCTTAACATTTAAAAATTCCTCAAAATATTCCGCCATCTACCCAATACCTCCATCTCCCCATCTACTAACTCCCCCACTCTGTTTTTAACTGACAAACCATACTTTCCCTAGCTTTCTTAACTTGTTTAACCACTCCAAAATTTTTTTTTATTTTTATTAAAATTTCTTGAAAAGGCCCCCTCCCCCCCCTATCATCTGCCCCCCCTTTTTCACCTCTCACCACCCTTACCTTTCTTTTACCCCCCATTACTCTCTCTTTTTATAACACTGCGCTTTTTAAAAAACCCCTCATAAGCACCTTTTTCCTTTTATCACACCCTTTACTTTTATCATTCCCCCAATACCCTCTTTCCTCCGCCCCCACCCCCCATAACCACAAACTTTTGCCCCCCCATCTAAAACTGCTTTTTAAAAAAATTCCAACCCCCTTCAAAACCCCCCCCCTACCATCTTTTCACTAGCCCACCTTTTTGCCAAAGTCGCTTAATCCAAACCCGAACTTCCTCCCCCCTTAGTTTATACACTTTCCCCCCCCTTACTTTTTTTTTTTGCCACCTTCCTCTTTTTTTCCATCTACCTCTTACTCAACTGTAGCAAAAACTAAAAATGATCCGATATTCATTGCCCCCTTAAACATTACACCTGGGGCCTACCCAGATTTTTTTTTTTCCCCCAATACATAAAACTAATAAACTACTTTCATTACGTGTACCTTTTATATTTATTTATCCTCTTTTTTCATAAAATAAACATTATTATTACCAAAACCTTTTTACACATACTCAATTTAAAACTCCCCCATTTACATTTTCCCCTGTCACCCCAAAATTTACCTACACTCCCTCCATCTTTTTTCCCACTTTAGCATTAAAACCCCCAAACCACCAAACTCCAACTTGATTAAAAACCCCCACGCTTTCATCAACTTTTCCCAGAATCTCTCTCCTCCCTACACTTTTTCTCTTCTCCGGGGTGCTACACTTTTCAAACCCACTTTTCACCCCCCCTCTTTTTTTTACCCACATAATCCTTGAATTTAACATTTGTAGCCCTCTTTTCCTCAAGCTTATCCTTCAACATTTTGCTACCCCCTTCTTTAGCTCTAACTCTATTTAAACCCCTGACCTAATCCCATTTTTTCCTTTCCCACTAAAAACCTCCCACCCCTTCAGTTTTGTTTCCTTAAAGCCAGGACATCCAGTTTCTTCTCATTAAAAACATCCCAACATCTCTTTCTTATCATTCACAACATCCACACACATTCAATTTCCCCACTTTGACAATTTTCTTCTTTTTTTTCTTTTAGAAATCTTTACGGGAAAAGGGGTTCTACCCATTGTTCCCGGCATTTTATTTTATTTTTTACAACACCAGGCTTACGGAGGAAAGACTTATTCCACTTCCCCTGGATAAAAAAGGGAAAAAGGAAAAAACCCAAAGAACTATTAAGATAAATCAAAAAAAACTCAGATGAGGTGATAAATAATGTGTCTGTATGTTTATGTGACCCAAGTGTAAGTAAAGTAGCAAGACATGCCCGTAATTTTGCATATTTTATGGACAGACAAAAGACATCGCAATCCTACCCTCATGTAAAACAATCACAGGCTTCGTTTTACACTCACTTGCAGGACGGGATACCTGGGTGGGTTTCTGTCACCAACCACTACCCCTTCATATTCATGCGGTTGCTTTAATCCCTTTTTTAAATCTTAATTTTTTTTCTAAATTCCCCGGAAAGTAGGTAGAATCTTTTCCCTTTTACCACGTATTCCATTTATAAACATTTGTAGTCAGAGGAACGAAAAGCTTAAGTGTCCAATTTCATTTACTACTCTTTTTCCCTTATTTTTACAGAATAATAACTGATCTGGGTCATATTATCTTAAGTCTTATAAATTTCTCCAAGAAGAAAAATAAGGCAAAATATAAAAAAGCATAAGTAACAAATTCATAAGTGAAGAAGAAAAAATTTCAAATAATACTGAAATTAAATATATTCCTGTAATGCAGATAGATGTTATTACAACATACCTGTCAGTGTCTCTCCTGGCACTAATACTTTTGCAAAGCCAAAGTCTGTGAGCTTGATATTGTAGTTGTCATCTAAAAGGATATTTTCAGGCTTAAGGTCTCGATGCACAATGCCCTTACCATGAACGTGAGCGAGTGCCTCAAACAGTTGCCTCATGATCAGTCTGAAGATAAAATATTTCACATTAATATACATGTATTCTTTAGTAACCCTTCAGGGATTTCAGTTGTACTAGTACGGCTTACGCCCCAGAGTTTTTGATGTACTAGTACGCCTAAATTATAGCGCCTTCAAATCTAGTGAGAGAAAGCTGGTAGGCCTACATATGAAAGAATGGGTCTATGTGGTCAGTGTGCGCAGTATAAAAAAAATCCTGCAGCACACAGTGGGTAATGAGAAAAAAATAACTTTGACCGTGTTTTTTTATCAAAACAGCGACTTTGCACTGTATTTTTGTATGGTATTTATTGTTGTATTCTAGTTTTCTTGGTCTCATTTTATAGAATGGAAGACATATTACAGAAAATGAGATGATTTTGACTGGTTTTACAATGAAAAGTACCTTGAAACTGAGCTCAAAGTAGCAGAAATGTTCGATTTTTACCAAAGTTCAAAAGTAAACAAATCATGCCAAGCGTCCAATACACATCAACTGGTGAGTCTAATATTCGTTCACAAGTGCACTGATATTACTTATACCATTTCTACACTAATGCAGTAGTCTGCATAACAGTAAATCTTCTATTTTTTGTAACAAAAATTCAAAATGGAAAGCCAAAAAAATATAAGAGGGGCCTGGGGATGTGACTAACGAACAGGGAACTTGTTATTTTAGTGCCAGGAACGCCTTTCTTGTTTATTCTGGATCCTATTCAGAAATTGGCATCTTTTGAAATTTGTGTGAAATTGGCAAAATTGCTAAATTCTGACCACTTTATTGGATAGTTGAAATCGGTAAATGCGTGGGTTCTTGTACTCATTTGATAGAAAAAATCGAGTTCTAGTGAAATAGTTGTGATTTTTGTTGACTAGTACACTGGAATTAGCCGAAAATAGGGCTCAAAGTGGCCAAAATCGCCGATGCGTAAACATCGTCGAGACTGCTAACTTCGCGAGAGCATAATTCCGTAAGTTTTCCATCAAATTTCATACTTTTGGTGTCATTATGATCGGCAAAAGATTCTCTATCTTTTCATAAGAAAAAATAATTTTTTTTTTTTTTAAATTTTGGCAACCCTGAGAACAAGTCTCTGAGAGGGCCTGGCGACCCCCAAAGGGTTAATAATCCACAACTCTACTTAAGAGAAACATGGCAGTGATGAAAATGAAGTTCATGATTCACCATTTTTGCAACGTAATGTAAGACCCGCTTTAATGATATGTTTTGCTGGTATTATACGTATTTAACCTTTTGACTGTTTTGGTCGTATACAGTGGTCCCTCGATAATCGTAGGGCTTGAGAGTCATACTTTTCGGAAATCATAGCGATATTTTCATAAAAACATGGGCTCGCTAATCGCAGACTGACTCGCGAATAGTAGTTCGTCCGGGACAGGTCCCACGAGTTCATACAATACATTTCATAATATTCCATTCGTTTCAGTGTTTGCAACTGCTAAATAAGTCACCATGGCTCCAAAGAAAGCTTCTAGTGCCAGCCCTTTGGTATAGAATGTGAGAAACACACATAATTTAAGAAAAAGTTTGTAGAAAAATATGAAGGTGGTGGTGGTGGTAGAGTGGAAGCAGTTGTGATAGTGGTTGATGGTGGTAGAGGGTGGTAGTGATGGTGGTAGCAGTTGTAATAGTGGTAGAAGGTGGTAGTGAGGGTGGTAGCAGTTGTAATAGTGGTAGAAGGGTGATAGTGATGGTGGTAGAGGGTGTCTTCTTCAGTGATTCAGCAATTCTACCAACTCCTCCAATGTTGTTGGGGTTATAATAATGTTGGTAGAATTACTGACAAGATGTAAAGTAAAAGGACACAAGTGCAACTAATGTGACATTTTATTGTGGCAACGTTTCGCTCTCCAGGAGCTTTGTCAAGCCGTTACAAACAGTACATGGACACAGAGGGTATATATAGGCTCAGAGTGAGGTGCAATACTAGTGGTAGTAGTAGTAGTAGTAGTGACATAAGTTGTTGTAGTAGTAGTAGTAGTAATACAATATGGTAGAGCAATTAACTCGTACATGATTAAAAGGATATAAAAGCTATTACTTAGGTAACATAAAAATAGGTTAGACAAATATAGACAGAGAAGGCCTGTTTCAGTGTTCAGTGATGTTGGCGAAGTGTTCGGACTCTAGGTGTTCCATGTATAAGTTGGCTAGGACAGCACTGATGGGGGACCCCATTCCCATGCCGTAGGTTTGTTTGTAAAGCCTGTTATTGAAAGAAAAACAGTTGAAATTAACACAAGAGTTCAATCAAGTCAACAAAATCTCTGGGAGGTAGAGGAAGATTAAGGTCCTGATTGACTTTGTATCATAGAACCTCGATGGCTTTAGTGGTAGGTACTTTTGTGAAGAGGAAGTCATGTCCAAACTGCCTAGTTTCTTGTTACGGATGGAGGAGTTTCGGATGCTGTTGAGAAGGTTGCCTGAGTGTTTAAGATGAGTGGGGCTGATGTTTAGCAAGAACTCCGGCTAGTTTGTGTGGAGCACTGCCTATACCTGATGTGAATGGTCTGAGAGGAATAATGTGTTTATGGGTCTTGGGTAAACAATACATGTGTGCTGGTTTAGGGTTGCTGGGTAACAAGTACAGAAGTTTCTTCCCTTCTCTAGTGCATTTGAGTATTTGTCTGGCTTTGTAAGAAAATCTTTGGTGAATGTCTCCTACTGTTGAGTGCTGATGGGTTCGTATGTAGACTGATCACTCAAAAGGTCCATCATTTTAGTGTTGTAGTCACTGGTGTTGAGTATGACGACTCCACCTCCTTTGTCGGTGATGGTGATGATAATGTTGGGGTCATTGGCGAGGTCCTTAACACCTTGACTGTCGCAACCCACAATCCAGAGGTGTCTCCTGGTGTTGCAAAATTTCAAAAAAAAAAAAAAAAAAAAAAAGAAAAAAAAAAAAAAAAATTCTATGAAATGACAGAGAATCTTTTCCCGATTGTAATGACACAAAAAAAAAGAAATTTGATGGAAAACTGACAGAATTACGCTCTCACAAAGTTAGCGACCTCAGCAATATTTACAAATCGGCGATTTCGCCCACTTTGAGCCCTATTTTTGGCTAATTCCATTGTTCCAGCCGACGAAACTCATAGCTATTTCTTTAGAACTCCGTTTTTTCTATTGATTGAGTACAAGAAACTGCCCATTTACCGATTTCAACTACCCAATAATGTGGTCAGAAATTTGCAATTTGGCCAATTTCACAAAAATTAAAAAATATGACAATTTCAAAATAGGGTCCAGAATGAACAATGCAGACGTTCCTGGCTCTAAAATAACATTTTCTTTGTTCATCAGTCATGTCTCAAGGCCCCTCTGATATTACTCTTGCTTTCTATTTTGAATTTTTATTCAAACAAAAAATAGAAGATTTACTATTATGCAGACTACTGCAATATTGTAATAATTGTATAAATAACATCAACCCATTCATGACTGCATATTAGAATGGCTAGTTGGACATTTATTGGACAATGACATCATTTGTTTACTTTTGAACATCGGCAAAAATCAAACATTTCCCCTACTTTGAGCTCCATTTCCAGGTTCTTTTTATAGTAAAATCAATCAAAATCACCTCTATTTCTATAATATGTTTTCCATTCTATCAAAGGAGAAAACAAGAATACAACCATAAATACTATACGAAAATAGACCACAAATTTGGCATTTTAATTAAAAAAAAACGGTCGGAGTTTTTTTTTTCTCATTATGCACTGCATGCTCCAGGATTTTTTTTATATGGTGCACACTGACCACACAGACCGATTCTCTCACATGTGGGCCTACCAGCTTTCTCCTTCTTGATTTGAAGCCGCTAGAATTTATGAGTATATATACGTCAAACACGGTACCTCGTAAGACGTATATAGTATATGGCCGCGACAGTCAAAGGGTTAAGGGCAGTGATGTATCGTCTAGGAAGATTAGAAGAAGGTGGTTCACATAAAGCTGAAGTGAGAATGCCCTGTATATAACCTATCTGGAATTTGCTGTCACTGTGTCTATGGTTCCTGGTAACTAGGTTGAGTTGAGAGTTAGGTTTGCGTATGTTGGTGGTAAATTTGAGTCCCAGACTCAGTGCTTGTTTCTCTAGTCAGTTAAGGTGCGTGACGATAGGTTGTTTATCAGGGCTTCGCGTCCCATTTCCTTCCATTGGCTGTTAGTGCAGAGGTACTGAAGTTTGCGATTGAGTTTGATCTTCTGTTGGAGGTTGGCTGTGGTGACTGTGCTGAGAATATGCTCAGCAGTGTGTTGGTCAATCTGAAGATTGGCCCTTATATTCCTTGCAGTTTCAAAGGTTTCCTTAGCGATGTTAGAAGTTCTTCGGCACATTCAGGTATAGGCAGTGCTCCACACAAACTAGCCAGAGTTCTTGCCAAACATCTTTCCTGCCTTCTGGGGACCATCATCCCCGCTCATCTTAACCCGTAAATGGTCCCAACGTATATGTATATACGTTTTTTCAACATTTGAAAGTATGTAAAAAAAATAGATCTTCTTTTTGTTTTTTTACATTTGAAAATGTGTAAAAAACTTCAATCTACTTTTTTTTTGTTACATTTGAAAATATGTAAAAAAAAACGTAGATCTACTTTTGTAGCACTACACATGTGAACATAGATCTGCTTGGACCGTTTACGGGTTAAACACTCGGGTGACCTTTTCAACCGCATCCGAAACCTCTCCATCCGTAACAAGAAACTAAGCAGTTTGGACGTGACTTCACTCTTCACAAAAGTACCTACCATTAAAGCCATCGAGGTTCTACGACGCAAGTCAATCAGGACCTTAATCTTCTTCTACCTCCCGGAGATTTTGTTGACTTGATTGAACTCTGTGTTAATTTCAACTGTTTTTCTTTCAATAATAGGCTCTACAAACAAACCTACGGCATGGGAATGGGGTCCCCCATCAGTGCCGTCCTCGCCAACTTATACATCGAACACCTAGAGTCTGAACACTTCCCCAACATCATC